GAGCATATACCTCATGATGCCTGTACAGAAATGCTGCAAGAAGCCAGCAGCTGTGCAGGGGATTGCTGCTGTGCAGAGTGGTCCAAGGGGAGCTATCATGAGCAGTCAGCTGGTGCCTGGGCCAGTAGCCCCAACTCTGAAGTGGAACTGGACCAGCGGTTGTTACAGCCAGACCTACGGAGAGACCAAAACCTCATGGAAAAGATGTCAGGGTTATTGATCAGTGATGATACGTATGGTAAAAATAGGTCCCTATGTGTCTCTCAAGACCAAGAGGTGACGGACAGTCCTCATTACTGTTGCAACCTCAGGCACAATCCATACTTGATGCCTCACCACCACCATAGTTTGGACTGTAGCTGCTTACCAGGATGCTGCTTCCATCAAATAATACTTCCATCTGCTCAAGGGGGGAGGCACCCAGACCACAGCTGGCCTCAGCACCATTGCAGCATGCAAGTGCCAGCGAGGCTGGGTCAGAAGAGCCATTACGTCCCTGATCGAGCTCAGCACATGCCACCTCCTACAGCACCTCCCCCTGACCCACTTCACTTCCACAGTGAGCATCAGCTACAGCAGCAGCACTGTTTCCCCAACCAGCCTCCATCTCAGCCCTTGCTCTTAGACTCCAGCAATGGGCTTGGCCTCCTCCAGAAAGCATATGCTTACCCAGATGCCACTTACTGTGATTACTGGCCCACCCGAGCTGTGAGGCCACCTTCTGGCCAGCAAGCAACTATCCAGAGGGAGCTGTGCTCCATTTTCCCTTCTGATGAGGTGAAGAAAGTCATGGCTTTGTACCCTGATCTCAAGGATATCACTAGCTTAATTTTACTAAGTCAAAGACACAGAAACTTGTGAAATCTCCAGATTAAACCTTTCTCCATAAGCACAAGTTCTGGGGACAAAGCTGCTACTCTGACATTTAAATCAGTGTTATAAAGGCTTTGAAAGATGTTATAGCAGTTCAACTAGCACAAGTTAAGCATTCCCCTCCTCCTTCCCCCCCCCACCCCCACCCGTCACT